GCTATATTGATAAAGACAGAATGACAGAGGCATAACTTTGACCCACCAAGGGTCTGTCAAGAGGCAAGCCAATTATTATGAATAGTTGGTGCTATCCAACCTTTAAAATTTCAGCTGTCTTCCACTATGAAATTCTTGCATGCCCAAATATTTCCAGACCTGCTGAATTCCTAGGTTACTAACTAACTCCCCTGGTGAGCCTAGGGGACAAGCTGGCTGTAGATGCATAGCTTTGCTTCTTGTGCAAATGAAGCTCAGACCATTCCCTCCCCTTGAGGCCTGGTGGCTCTCCATAGCAACTGACTGAGAACAAAAGAGGTTTTTACATATGAAGGTGGAAGGTAGAGTGGAGGAATGTTCCTGAGGAGGCAGAGAACTGTATGCTGTGCTCAGGGAAAGAAAGGGCAGGCATTTTCTGTAGAAAGGGACAGAACAGCATGGTGAGACAGACAGAAGAGAGGATGACAGAGGTTCTGTAGAGGGTGAGCAGATCTCGTGCAGAGTTTTCTGAGTGCCAGGAGTAGAGAGTAGCAGAAATGGAGAAAGAGGATACAGAGGATGAAGATGAGGCTGGAAGCACAGGAGTTTAGTCGTTAGCAGGACTATGAAGTAGGGAACCAGACAGAACTGAAGCTATGAAGACACGATTTCATCCCAGAGAAATAAAGTAGATGGATACAGAGGTTGGTTCATCTAGATTTATTCTTGTCCTGAATGCCTGATAGAGCTATAGCTGTATTGATAGAATTTTGTCTTAGAGGAATAAAATCAACACACATAACACACACTGCATAGTGTATATAGATTTTTTGCCTCAGATATCCCACTCTGGACTTAGCTACCTTTGGGCCCCTGGGTATTCCATAAAAAGTCATTAAGTCTTTTTAGGATTAACTTATCCTTAGTGTCCATTCTATCTGTTTTCTTCCCATTAAAGGAATAATGCATTAAATATTTAAGAAGGTTAATCTTATTCAAACTATAACATTTTCATTCCTTTATATATACAGTTAGTGTTTTCTCTAACTACAGGTACAGAACCTGCTCAATGGGAACTATAGACACACTGAAATTTTCAAATAGCAAAATCATTCATAATCCTACCACTCAGAAATAAAGGATATGGTCCTTAGTCTTCTTTTGCACAATGTGAGTGTATGTGATGGGAACGAGCTTGTACAATGACATGGCTGCAATGATGCATTTCTTACATTGGTTAATACATTCGCATCAGCACTTGAGTAGATTTTATTCCACAGGTTATTTTTAACATACATATACAATTTCACTATTTGCGTCATACTTTAACTGCTCATCTATATTTGACAGTTATTCCTGAAGATCTGGATACTATGTTCAAATGTTTGTAGAGAATTAAATTTAACCTTGGCATATAAAATGGACAATAGGGTGGGCTCCATGTACTCTCAACTCACATATCTATTTTAAGAATGGTGAGAATTAAAGGCAATAAGACATAGACAACAGCTTATTCTTTTGTTTTGTTTTTTGTTTTTCAAGACAGGGTTTCTCTGTGTAGCTTTGGAGCCTGTCCTGGAAATTTCTTTGTAGACCAGGCTGGCCTTGAACTCACAGAGATCCACCTACCTCTGCCTCCTGAATGCTGGGATTAAAAGTGTGTGTGTGCTACCACTGCCCAGCAACAATAGCTTATTCTTCACTCAACCATGAACAGTTTATATATTGTTTGGACTGCATAACAGTGTTGGATAAATGCTGTGGACTTTTATGTTCAGGCAGTTTATACATGAGAAATACGAAAATACGAAGAGCTACTTCACTTAAGGTTATGGATGTTTCAACAACTGAAGAGGGCCCCTTCTGAGAGGAATCAGTTCCGGCATAAAACTGTGAGCCACAGGTATTTTGTGGATTTAATTTTTGCTCCATGAATCTCTTCATATACATTTATTCTCTATACTTTTTTATAGAGAATATTGTATACTTTTGCTATCTCTTACCATTTTAGACATGATTGCCCATTTCTGTATTTTCAACACACTGGCTCCATAACATATTCCAAATACCCAGTCCTATCAATAAATAGCATAGCAAATAGTATAAGCTGTTGTAGAGTTAATACAGAACCATAAAAATATTTCAGAAAAACTAAAATATGTAACTTAATAATTAGTAAATATAAATTGTAAAGGTCCTGTTCATTAAAGAGTACTTTTCACATATTCCAAATGACTAGCCAAGGCCAATGAAAAGGGATGCTTCACTTTCTGTTTCTACTTTGTATACTCTACTAACAAGAAAAACATTTCATTATATTATAATCAACTTAAATAAAGCATAAATATAAAATGTTAATATATTTGCTCAATAGATGTTATTACAATTAGAAACAAAAATGCCAATTCTGCTTTAATTAAGAAATAGTTTAGTTGAAAAGCATCTGTCTGAACAGGTTATTCACTTAAATATATTAAACGCATCCAAAACAACACTATTTAAACTATTAATGTGATTATATCAAAAATAGTGAAAATGAAAATTAACCTAAGTTTAGATAACGGATGTCTGAGTTAACATAATTCAGTGGAAGGCTGAGGCAGGAGGGTGGAGAGGAGCCACTTGTAAAGAATGTAATGTTCAAAATGCATCAACGGAAATGCTGTCAAGTTCTACAGGAAAACACCCTTACAGTAAGATCTGTTACTTTCGATTTCTGATTACTTCTTTATAAAAACAGTCATTACTTGGTTGTTTTCAAGAACTTTCAAATACCAGACTCCACCTTAACCTGAGCGCTCAGGAGGATGAGGCAGAAGGATCAAGATTTTGAGGTCAACCTGGGCTGTTGAGTGAAATTCTGCCATAAACAAAAATTTAAACGATCTATGTAAATATAGGTTGTTTCAATGTGTATTGTATTTTGTTAATTTTTTATAGATTATGAGACTTAACACAGTATCTTGTGTGTGTGCATTCATACTGTCTGTGAATATGTGTATGCATGTTATCACATGTGAGTACATGTGTGTGAATGCACATGTAAGCACAATATGGTGAGGACAGAGGTGGATGCCGATGTCTTTCAATTGCCGATGTCTTTTAATTACCGAGGCAGGGTCTTTCACAGAATGTAGAGCTAGCCAATGGGGTCAACAGTCTCGCTAGCCAGCTTCTCTTGAAGATTCCCTCATCTCTACTTCCAATTTCCACAATGTCAGAACCACTAATCAAATCCAGCTTTTAGACGGGTTCTAGGATTCGCCCACGGTCCCCGTGCATGCCCCGTGGTCCCCGTGCATGCCCCGCGGTCCCCGTGCATGCCCCGTGGTTCCCGTGAATGCTCCATGGTTCCCATGAATGCCCCGCAGTCCTCGTGCGTGCCCCATGGTGTCATATACATGACACTGGAATGGCTTCACATGACTAGAATTCTAGTAATTACATCATGTTTTCATCATCACAAGGATAAAGATATTTTCGTAACATATTTATGCTGGAATTTCAGTTTCCTAATTCAGATTTTCAGAACTCTCCTAGATATATGCAAAATATAATGCTAGGGAAACACCATGAAGACTCCAACAGAAGGTATAAGGTTTCATTCTTAAAAAATGAAAATTAAAAGGTTCATGCCCTATGTAAGTGTCTGTTGATACACCCAGGTTCATCCACACGGAAAAACAAGGTTCCTACACGGTGGCATCTATGTACTTCTCTACTGTCTCATGGCCTGTTCTCTGACCCAAGAAACAAATGCACATTCAGTCTGCAAGGGACATATGAGGACTGCTGAGCCCAAATCAGGGACAAGCTGGTGCTGGCTTTTCTGCTTCCTTCCCCAGGAGGAGAACCTGGGGGCTGGCACTTCCTGCAGCATCCCACACAGAGAATGCCAGAAATCTGGGGCACTTCAAAGATTTAGATAGCATCATTTCTCTTCTCCCCTCCTCTCCCTTCCTTTATTTTTGTGTTTTTAAGACAGGGTCTCTCTACACAGCTCTGGATGCTATGGAACTCACTACGTAGAGCAGGCTGGCCTCAAATTCACAGAAATCTGTCTGTCTCTGCCTCCTGGGTGCGGGAATTAAAGATGTGCACTATCAATGCCAGGCTCAGCAAAATTTCAGTAACAATTTGGATAAGAAAACCAAACTTTTGTTGCTACAAGTGATTAATAAGTGCAACTTTCTTGTTCCATTTTTGATAGCGAAAAATACAGAAATAAAAAGTAAAGAATGGAAAAGAGAACTTAAAATTATTTTATTCTGGGATAAAACTGACAAATGACATACTGTTAAGCATCAAATCTCTTCTTTTACAACATTCAAGTCTACACACCACATCATAAAACTCAACCGTAAACTCTTTACAAATAAAAAGGTGCCTTGTTCTTTTTAGTAAATAAGAACCTATAGTGTTGATTAAAAACCACATGAAAATGAAATATTTAGAAACTTAGAACTCTTGAAATAAAAAACTGGAAGATCACACACACACACACACACACACACACACACACACACACACACACACACACCCTGTAAGATTTATTGTTAAATATTTAGACTTAGCCCTTCAAGATGCAGCTAGTTATGTGTTGACATGCCATTATATCAAGACACAATGTATAGGAATTTTATACCATAGAAAATAAATCAAAGTATGTTATAGACAATTTCACTGAGAGGATGACCAACATTTAGCAAAATTAGCTCCAGAAGTCAGCCCATCATTTTCTGGAAATACGTAGATAGTATATACTACAGGGTTCCAAGCCACACACACTATGACTCCTCCAATCTATAAAGGTATGTAGAGAGTCACTGATGAAGCATGGGGATATCCATGATCTGTGTTCCACGAACACTTCCCAGAAAGTCAGTCAGCACAGGGGCTGCCTCTGCAACCTTCAAGCAGACCACACGTTACAGAGCAGCAGCAAGTGGAGATAACAGATGCTGTTAGATCCGATATTTCCAAGATCTTCTTAAAAAATTTAAGTAGCGCAGACATCTTACCTGATTAGGTATCCTCAGTGGGGGTCTTGGGCCTCCAGGGTACCGAGGGGACATAAAAGGCTATTGAAGACAAACAAACAAACCACAAATCAGGACAATGTAAAATACAAATCTAAAAACAAACTATTTCAAAAATTCAGAATTAATACAAATCATACATCAATTTATTTTCCTATGTGGCTGTTTTCAGCAGAATGAAACCTTCCAAGGAAAGCGTCATCCTGTTTTTTATTTTGTAGAATATCTGAAAGTTTTCCAAAGAAAATATGAAACCATAAAAGATTATTAACTATACAATTCAAAATATAAATTTCTAAAATAAGGATACCAAAGACAAAATAAAGAACCCATAACTATTTGAAGAGGAGGCTTGATGGTTACTGCAGTATACAAGATAAGTTCTGAATGTATACTTTTGAATATATTATAAATCTTTATTATCAGTTTTCAATAAAAATTTAAAGTCAAATTTCATTCCTTCATGGCTGTTCCCTATAAGATTGCAAAGAACTTTGTTTTCTAAGAGTCGTCTATGGTCAAAAATACTTTGTTAGCTTTTTCCCATTGTGAGTTTGTTATTAACTATAAACTTTAAAGGTAAAACTCCTTTCCATATTTTGATTGTAGCATATTTTGAACTCTATACATTTAAACAAAAGGGAAATTGTCTTCTTTTAAAAGTCATGCTAATTTATGTTGTTGGAGGAAACGCAGGTTCCTCTAAGTTGGGTTAAATCTTTCAGTAGGAAACTGAGTATCTGGGAGTGTCTTTGCAGCCAATGCCTACAGGGAAGTGTCTAATACTTGACTCCTTAGACTTGGGTGTTCATTTTTTAGAGGCCACTAAATTATTCAAAATTTATATTTTATTATACTTTTAATCACTAGCAAAGTAATTATAATTTTTCTGATTTATATATTAATACTATTTCTTAAATATAAGATCCTTTACATATAAAATAAGCAAGTGTTTATTTCTAATGGGCTGCATATTAATTAAAATATCAAGACTAGTTTAATGTATACTAAGAGTCAATTTAGTAGATAGCAAGTATATCAAGTTCACAACATTTTACTTTATTGAACCTTGCATTTATACCTTTTATAAATCAGAAATCAGGTCTGCAGCAATAACTCTCGAGAAAGCTCTGCCATGCAGATCTGTTTCTATAGTCTATTTTTCCATCTAAGAAGCCAACAAATGAAGGTTACGATGAATAGGCGGCTTGCTTTGCTCTTTGCGCTCTTGTGTGTCACTGTGTTCCCAGGAGACCACTGACTGGGCAGAAGTGGAGGACTGTTCAGGTAATAGAGTTACCTCCAGCTGCTAGACCTTAAGTAGACTTTCCTATGTTAACAAAGTTGATTATAAAAAGGTTTAGCTTTCATGGACGTGACCAGAGTCTGCTCTCCTCTTCACTGGAGAAGCTATTCTAAGTGACTTGATAAGTAACTCCATGCTACCAGCTAGAAGCTTACTCCAATATCCAGGCTCTGTTCTTTTCTAAATTATCCAATTTTACTTACACAATTACAATGGTCAATTCTGGATTCACTTCTAAATTTACTAATTAGGTACTATATTATTAGTTCTATAATAGTTGCCTTTCTTTACAAAGTGATGTTTCATGATATAAGTCATAAATTCAAGGTATAATATCAGTTTACTGAAATATGGAGAAATAAATATAACCTACTAATAATTCCTACTTACGATAAAATCAGTTGGAAATGGAGTAAAGTTAAAAAAAAAAATGTGAAAAGTATCACTAAATACCAAATGTTGGGGTAAATAACTGTTCAGTACCTTATTTGAAATATAGCACTTGGGAATGATATGATCACCCAATGTGAAAAGATGTCACAGTGTTAATGTCATGGAATATTTGACCTCTAGACTGAATTATGAATCAGTCTATTTGAATGAGATTATGCATACCTTTCTATCTGTCTTACAGAAGTTACCTGAGGCTGCTGGGAGAGAGCATCACTATGTAGTGACTAGGGATGTATAGGTCCTTGTAAGACAATATTGAGAGATATAGACTGGCTTAGACAACTTATTTCCTCATATGCCTTCCTCCAAAAAAATCACTTTGCATTTTGGTAAAGGCAGGAAGGACAGGAGACAGGGAGAGAGGAAAGGAAAGGAGACGGAGGAGGGAGTCACAAATCAAGTATCTTCACAAAGCATACATGACAATAAGTCTAGCTCATTTTGATTTTTAGAAATATTTCTAAGTCATAAAGAATGCTTTGGTGGCCGGGCGGTGGTGGCGCACGCCTTTAATCCTAGCACTTGGGAGGCAGAGCCAGGCGGATCTCTGTGAGTTCGAGGCCAGCCTGGGCTACCAAGTGAGCTCCAGGAAAGGCGCAAAGCTACGCAGAGAAACCCTGTCTCGAAAAACCAAAAAAAAAAAAAAAAAAAAGAATGCTTTGGTGAAAGCTTTCTTTAAAATTGGTGCTGATATAAATTCTAAATGTTCAGACCAATCCTAACTCTAAGGTAGCTAACAGCCACCTAAGTCTTGACTGTCCAATGAGTTAGCTTAGCAAACACAGCATTAGAGGACCAGATTGTCTGCAACGGATCAGCTGAGCGAATTCTATACTGGCATCTGTACTTCACCATTAGGAAGGCAACTTAAATTAAGCTACAGTAAAAAACTGATCTAGGCCAGAGATTATCCACTGGTAATGTGAGTTACACGTGTTCATAGACATGTTAGTACTCTCTGCATTCCTAATTTAGGACAAACATGTTCTTCAAAGACTCCTTAACCCTGAAAATGAGCTTATTCTTTATATCTGAGGCAGTTTGTTTTGTTTAATTTTGGTTTTTGATTTAAGTAGGGCATCAAATCCCTGGGAAAAGTTATTTATAATGTATGTGAAAAAAAATCTGTGAGTCTAGAGCTTGGATGCTAGTATTTGCTTCATAACTAATTAGTAGGTTGGCCTTGAGCTGTAAGCTCTGGGGGCTGCAGTTTTCTTAACCTTAAAATGAAGAAGTTGGAACAGATAATTTTTAAAATTCTTTACTAAACAAGGGATCCATGATTCTGGGATAAGTCCTTTCCACTTTGCCTTTAAATACAAAGACTCGTATACTTTGCAGCTGTAGACATTCAAGTCGTGTACGAGTGGGGAGGGGTGAGGAAAAAGGCATATGTTTCTAAGACACAAGCCATCTTTATCAAAGAGTCGGAGAAAATGACCATGTGTTCTAGAGTAAAAGAAAAGCATGGTTAAGGAAGAAATACAGCCACAGACAATGGCGCTCACTGTCACGAGGCATTAGAGGTCAACCAGGGACACAACAGAAGTGCCGACTGATCTGAGAATGCGGTGATGGGGTCCCTCATTTGACAAGTCACTCACAGGGCACAGGTTTAGGTGGCCGGATCTGCCAGTGAACAAAGCAGATAAAGCTTACTGTTCTCTCCCTGGGAGTCTTCAAGGTTCACCATGTTATTATTAGTCTAAGATATAATTTTCTGGAAAAATGCTCCATGCACCAGTCCTCTAATTTGGAACAAATCGAATGTTCTCTTCAGCAAATGTCAAGTGCCAATGAAAGCACCAAGAGGATAATACTTCACTCTGTCTTCCCGGGAAGCCGACTGCATCGTCCTTACTGGATCAAAATGCAGCTCTAAGTGACTGCAAAGCTAGATAAGGTTTCCAGTTCTGCAACTGGTCCACCTGTATAACACACGATCATCTGGCTCGCAAAGTTCTTTCTGCGTGTTCCCATTATCAACATGTGCTTTGGGTGTTTGTGTTGCACAGAATTCCTATGATGAATCCGGGATCTCCAGCGCAAAGCTATTTGAAGACGGCCTGTGGGGTCGGGGTGGAGCTGTCCTGAAGAGTCTGCTGTCTTAAGGAAGAGGCAGAGAGAGATGACTGCCCCACTGTGAGCAAATGGCTGTCTGCCCACTAAGAAGGAACTGAACACAAGGCTGCTTGGATTTTTAGTTTTTTTGTGGGTATTTTATTTTTGAGACAGAATCTCATAGCTCAGAGTAGCCTTAAACTTGCTGTGGAGCTGAGGATGACTTTGAATTTAGGATTCTCTGGCCTCCATCTCCTGAGTATTGGGATGTAGGTGTGCCACCATTCCAGGCTAACTGGGTGATAGAAGATGGCGCTTACTTCATGTAAACATATGACAAAACACTCTACTAACTGAGCTATGCCCTCAGCCCAGCTCCTTCATCTTGACTATTCTTAGCATCAGGACTATGAGGAATAAGTCTGTCGCTTAAATCATCTAATCTACAGTATTTTTGTTATAGCAGCCCAAACTGACTAAACCTAAAAGAAATGGGCTAAAGAAAAGCAGGAAGACTACAGATATATGATATTAGAAAATCACTGTGTGCCGACAAAACAGAAGGCTGACAATACCTAACAGGAACACCAGCTCACTGCCGCCAGTCTTTCAGGAAATAAAATTATGTCACTTAGGATCATAATGTATTTAAGAATAAATGTCATTAAGTTTTGGTGTATTACTATTTTCTATTCTCCCAAGAATTATTTAGAATTTTTAAACTGCTTTTCTAAAGGGAAGATTATCATTTATTCCTTATCCTTTCTGTTACATTTATAATAAAATATGACCTATATAATCATATATATATATATATGCTTTTTGATACATTTTAAACTAGGAGGTTTTCCTTTTTAGAATTCATTAAATCAACCTTTTTATATGTGAAAGAAAACCAAAGTTCAAATTTCTTAATTACCATTTTAGTTTTCCTACTTCTGACTCTGCTACCAGAACGGGGATAGCATGCATACATGCTTCATTCTTAGGACCACCCAACACAAACCAACTGCTTGACTTAGCATTTCCTCACAGGCCCCTGCAACTGTGTGACCATTCACTTAATGTGGCCTTCCTTCCCCCAGCCACCATTCAACCATGAAAAGCTGAAAAGGCAGCAGTATTTCCAGTAAGCAAGTTAATTTGCATATAAACCACTAATTAGCATGTGGTCTTGGTTCATCAGACAAAAAGAACCGCCATAATTGAAATAAAAGAATTG